AGAGCGGCACATTCAATCGTTCTGGATAACTTTGTATAAACTTGGATATTTTAATTTTACGAAAATTGTTATCAAATTATTTTCAAGGTAATTCAAGAAAAATATTTGTTCCAAAGATTTTAAATTTCTTTAATGAGAATTCTATTAAACTAAATATAAATAAAGCTTTAGCAAATGTATTGAAGAAAATGGAGGACAACCTTTTTTATTGTTTTGGTGTTTGTTAATGTGTTATTTAATTATTACTTAAAGTTTCTGTCAGCAATTGTAATAATAATTTAGGTTCGATGTACTACCAAACGGTTAGATTTAGCGACTTGAGTAAAGAATACCCTTTTCAAACAGTTCTTTATTACCTTTCAAACGATTAATCAACATTAGCAATAATCACTAAGACAAAAAAGTTATGGAAAAAACTATTTTTCGATTGTAGGCAAACTGCTCTCTAGCGGTGCCTAATGAAACTTTCTCTATTCGTCACAATAGAGCTTAAACTACGTGGTGTATGTACTGAATGGGGCTGATAGCAATGGGCTCATTCAGCAATTTTTTTTATTTGCTTAACGGCAAATATTGTCATTTTAAGGTTCTCTGCAAAAACCAGAATTTTATATCGCCTACAAGTCATCCAAAAAAAGTCATAAACTGGCGCGCTGAGTATCCGCTGAACCGGCAGGTGTGACGTCACCGCATGGGAAACCGCTGCCGCATGCTTGCGGTCTTGTCAGTCAGTCGGGTAGTCGGGTTTTAGTTGCCTGTTAAGAGATTCGATTGAGTAGGATAAAATATCGAGTTAGCAGTTATTAACAGTATGGAGGACACAGAAGAGAAAAAAAAAATACAAATATTGTATTGTTCCCCAGTGTGGGAGACTAGTGTGAAGACACCTAAGAAATATTTATTACCGTCACGCGGATCTAAAATTAATAGTCTATTAGTCTCTACTCTGATTTGTTTTTTTTAATATATTTTTGATTTGAAAAATGACTTATTTTAAAAGCAACTAAACTACCCTGCGTAATTTAGGTAAGTAACGTTTGTATCCCCTAAAAACAATAAACTTGTGTAAGTGTTTTTTCATTGTTGATTTTTTGTGAATATTATACAAATACCTATAGGTACTAAGTATTTAAATAAAAATACATAATAAATAATGTATATTATCAATATATTTATAAGATATTAGGTAGATTTGTGTAGCTTCCATGGGGATAAAAATAGTAATAAGAATTTTGCGCAAAATCCTTATTCTTATTTAAGTTCTATTCTTATTATACAAAAACATTAAAACTTTCGCTGCAAACGTACTTGATAGAAGCTTTACACGTTATTGAAACGTACCTTTTACCTATGTATTTTCACTCGTCTCATCTCTGATATAGTCGTGGTTTTCATTAAAAAAATCCTTAACTATTACAAACCTACTTCTGGAAAATTAGAAGAATCTGTTTTTACGAAATTTGCTTTCATTTTACACATCTACATACTATTCTAGTTCTATAGCCTGCAGATACAGAAACTCATCTGGAAGTGCGTACGCTACGCGCCAAGCTGTTTGACCGACCCATGCGGTGACGTCATTGCATTGTCACGGCTGAGACAAATAGTCGCATTTTAAAAATCATATAATTTGAAAACCGCTCAACGGATTGAGTTGAAATTTTCAGGATCGCCTAATAGATCGGGAGATATTAGACTGAAGTTCGACGACGTCTTTCTCGTTTATGCCTCTGAGAGTACTGACAGGTAACCGAGAGACAAGTACAATAAACTAAATTTAAAAGATGGGCTGCGGGGCACCTTCGTGAAAATTCAATTTTCCTTTTCAAAAAAATAATGTGTACAGCGACGTATTTCTCACTTATGCCATGTTCGTAAGTTGAAGAGAAGTATCGATTTTATCACGAAATTTTTTTGGCATAAGTGTCGCAAGAGACCTAAATATGGAAAACTTTGTAAGAAAATGTGGAAAAACATCTTTATTTGTCTACCAATTTCTCATTAATGCCAATTAGAAATATGACATTATTATATTCGAAAAGCTCATAAAAAACATTGGCATAAGTCCTACTAAGGACTAAAGAAAATAGGGCTTTGGAAAAGCTGCGGAAAATTTTTCGTTTTGGTCAACGTTTTTCTCGTGAATAAATTAAAGCTTATTGCAAAGAAAAAAATGAAAGTATTCATTTTTTTTAAAGGGCATAAGTCCCTGGTGAGGACTATATGCTAAAAATTTTTTGAAAAGTTGTAGGAAAATTCATGAAAATTTTTACGTCTTTCTCGCTTATGCCATTTTGCATGCACGTAGGAAACTACATTATAAAGTCATATAAATGTAGGCATAAGTCCACATTGGATTTTCATGTTGTAAATTAATTTGAATTTTAATACGAGTCAGGTCGACAAAGTAGAAAAATAATAGAAAATTGCCACAATTTTCTCGTTTATGCCGTTTCGTACACGAGTAGAAAATATTACTAAAAGCCATTTTCAAGAGTGGCATGAATGCCACAAGGTACCGTCGTATGTAAAAATTTTTAAAAAGTTTATTTCATCGCCTACGCAATTTTCGAAATACTTATACTTACTTGCATTTAGCGTATTTTTAATTTTTATAAATATAAGTAATTCATGTATTTAATGAAAGTTAATAATAAACTATTTCGGCTTAAGTCCCCACATATTAGAAATGATTTTTAATTATTCTTTGAGTCATGATCAGAAAAAGAAAAATTATATAATATTGCCACAAATTTCTCGTTTGTTCGTAAATGAGTAGAGTATTTTATCACAATAGACCATACGTATTTATGAACAATATATTTAAATTTTAAAAATTAAAAATATTATATAATTTGAATTAACCGCTTCAGTGCAAGGATGATCTACTTGAATTGAGCCGACTAAGGTAGAAGAAGAAGAAGAAGAAGAAGAAATAATTAAGCTAGAATACATAGGGAAGAAACTGATTTATAACTGATTTAATATCATGTATATTGAATTTTGTTTTTTGTTTCTGGTACTTTGTACCTTAATTACTTAATTTGTACTTTTATACATTTTATTTTTATATTAAAAGATTTATTTAAGTAATAGTAATTGAATTGAAAAACCGCTGCCAACTCAATTGTCAGAATGCTTCCTCAAAGACTTTGAATTACTAATTTTTAATTATAACTAACACAAACAATAACACTTAAAATAATACAAATTTTTATTAACTTAAAATTAAAGCATATCAAAAATAAAAAGTTTTTTCGGTTTTATGATTTTTTACATTTTCAAATTTCAAACAGTTTTATCTGCAGCTCTTGATGAAAACGGATCAAAATAAAGGCCTTACTACCAGCTTTATTATAAGTTATTAAGAATTATCGTAATAAAAAATAACATGTCGAAAAATCAAACTAAACCCAATATAAAGCTTTCTCTTTTTCATGAAATTTTTTTTATTTTAAATTTTTTATTCCCTTTTATAGTTAGAAATATTCATTTTTTATATAGATATCTTCTCCGACACTTGCATTATTTATCATACATTTTTTAAATTAATTTAAGTATATCGAAAATTGCGCAGGCGAGGAAATAACCGCAATTTGTAATTTTTGACAACTTTTTAAAAAATTTTACATACGACGGTACCTTGTGGCATTCATGCCACTCTTGAAAGTGGCTTTTAATAATATTTTCTACTCGTGTACAAAACGGCATAAACGAGAAAATTGTGGCAATTTTCTATAATTTTTCTACTTTGTCGACCTGACTCATATTAAAATTCAAATTAATTTACAACATGAAAATCCAATGTGGACTTATGCCTACATTTATATGACTTTATAATGTAGTTTCCTACGTGCATGCAAAATGGCATAAGCGAGAAAGACGTAAAAATTTTCATGAATTTTCCTACAACTTTGAGACTTATGCCTTCATATTGAACCCATAGAGGAGTGATGCCTACTTGACACAGTACATTATTTATAGTAAGTATCATAAATTTTCAACGGCATAAATGAGAAAGTTATAGAATGAAAATAAAAATTTTCCGCAGCTTTTCCAAAGCTCTATTTTCTTTAGTCCTTAGTAGGACTTATGCCAATGTTTTTTATGAGCTTTTCGAATATAATAATGTCATATTTCTAATTGGCATTAATGAGAAATTGGTAGACAAATAAAGATGTTTTTCCACATTTTCTTACAAAGTTTTCCATTTTTAGGTCCCTTGCGACACTTATGCCAAAAAAATTTTGTGATAAAATCGATACTTCTCTTCAACTTACGAACATGGCATAAGTGAGAAATACGTCGCTGTACACATTATTTTTTTGAAAAGGAAAATTGAATTTTCACAAAGGTGTCCCGCAGTCTATCTTTTAAAATTAGTTTATTGTACTTATCCCTCGGTTATCTGTCAGTACTCTCAGAGGCATACACGAGAAAGACGTCGTCGAACTTCAGTCTAATATCTCCCGGTCTATAATCATGAGCAATACTTTGTGTATAAGAATGTTTTTGAAAATTTAATTGATCCCATTAAATTAATTTAATGGAATTAAATTAAGAAATTGAATTTTGATAAGTTGTATTTTGAAAACTGATATTTCGAAAAAATCACGCTGAATTAAGGAGGAATCCTTAAGTTGTATTTTAGAAACACCCTGTGTATTATACGGAATTTAATTTAAGTAAACGAGCCTGGTATGTCGCTGCCTGCGATAGAGCGTAGTAGATTTTGTAGGTGTTCTAAGAATCGTTAATTGCGAGTGGCATACGACGAACCGCGACAAGTCGCATTCCTTGCGGCACGCAGTCGGAAGGGGGAGCCGACGGCACGTGGTGGCCGACTCCTGCGGGCCCGCTGGTGGGGATGGAAGCGTCGCGAGGCGCGCGCCGCGACGTGCCTCCTGGCGTCGGCCGCGTACCCGCCGTATATCTCATCCGCAGCACGTGTTCGGGCGGGCGTCGCGAGAGAGAGGTGGCTGGCCTGGCTGTTAGAAACTCGCCGGTGTCGACGGCCACGGCAGATTCGCGACCTAGCATGGCGTACTCTGGCTCCTCTGCGTGTGTGGATCCCATGCTCGACGTGTGGGACGGTTCCAATTTCACATAGGTTCGTATTTCTGCTTGGTGTTTATGTGTTTTGATAGTTGCGGTGAACCGTAGCACGGAAACTGACGTTTTTCTAATTTTTCCACCCCGCCAAACGCCTTCCAGTCTTCACCACGAGTTTGGTGTAGTGTTCTTACGGGTCACCGCTAGGTACCATCTTGCAAAATTACTTGATAAACATGTGGAATCGACTAATTATGTTACAATCCTCAGTGACGACAAATTAATAGTCAAAATGCACAAAAAATGTTTCTATAAACATACTCTTTCAAATGTACCTTAAGGATGCTAAAGATGGATACAAAAGTGGTTTTTATTTCACAGTCACGCACCTTAAAACACCTGGAATCACATTTTTGCTCAAACATCTCACAAATAGTTGTCAATAACAACCTAATTCTAAATAAAACTTCCTTAAAGTCCTTTACATTATAATTCAGTTTAAATAATACGTTTATAGGAACTTTTTTACTTCGACAGTGCTGTTAAGTACGTTACAATATATTCTGACAACCAGTGAAGTCCCTAGAGTCCCTAATTACAGATTTTATCTACATCTATTTATAAAAAATTACATCCGTTCCGAAATTTCACATAAATTGAAACTATTCAGTTTTATTTTTTTTAAATCAACAACTTAAGACGTAAATAACTATGTTTGTTAAAAATACAGTACTAAAAATACATCCGGAGCCTTTCTACATATTTATAAATATGTCTACAGTGAAATATACCTATTAATATATCACTGTGAAATATAACGTTTTTATTAATCTTCTCAATTGCATATTTAGAAATGTTTATAATCATTTCCACAGTAAGGATGATATTCAGGAAGATGAATACAGTATTTTTCATCAATCAGTAGTGTTTGTTTTACTTTAACTTTAGGGTGCAGGAAATTATTGTCTAGTTTTCATTTTTGTCCCTACAAATTTTCCCTAACATGTTACTTGATTAGAAGGACATTTACAACAAAAAAGTTTTACGTTTAAAACAAAATTCACTGGTCTTCACATTCGCAAATATTTAAAATGAAATTGGCGAATTCAGAAAATTAGTTTGACGTCTGTTTCTTCCGAGACTAGTTAATTTAAACTAACCTAGTTATGCTACCCATTTTCTATGCTTGTGGTCAATTTGTATGCATGGATGTGGCCGATTTTACGTTTCTGTTTTCTTTTTGTTTTTTTTTTATTTTTTTTTTATTCACACAAAAATCACTTGTTTATTTGAACCAGTTCTAATGGCACGTAAAATTTGTTTGTTTGCCCTGTGGATTAATGTTTGAATAGTTGCTGTGTAATTTCAAGAGAACATTTAGGAACGATAAACAAACAGGAATCGACTGAATTCTGTAAATACTTTCGTCGAGTCGATAGTCCTCTTACTTCTAAACTCCGTTTCTGTTTGGAACACGCGATATTTGTACAGGGTGTATCAAATCCGATAGTATTGGCCTACTGACAGAAACGACTAATGACGTCAGCAATTATATTTTTTCCAGAAACGTACCTAAATTTTTCCTATCAAAACTTCTGTATTTTCCGTTTAAAAGTTATAAGCAATATCGTCCTAAAGAATCTAAAAAAAATACCGGTTTAAAATCACATTAGCGGTGGAAGGATCAAGTAGTCGTTGGAAAATAATTGAATGTTCGTTGTTTAAAGTGCATAAATGTCACAAAATAGTTGTCATTACTCAATACGAACGTCAAACGTATAACTTTTCTGGGTTCAAAATGTTTTCTTATTCAGAAAAAGTTGATATGTTGCTAATTTACGGCGAGTCACAAAAAAATTCAAAAAGAGCTATACAGTTATATCGAGAATGGTATCCAGAGCGCCTCATTCCTGGTCATAGAACCTTCACAAGATTGGAGGTGACCTTGCGACGAAATGAAAATGCATTTTTTGATCGGAAAAATCAAATAATTGACCGAAGGGTAAGAAACAATGTTAATACAGTTAAACTGTTACAGTATTTCCAATAAAATCCTCGAAATTCTATACGGCAGGCTAGCCGGGAATTGAATTTGGATAAATCAACGAATTTTAAAGACCAATGGGTATCATGACTACAAAATTCACAATTTGGAGTATTTGCCTGAGCGTCACATTGAAAATAGACTTAATTTTATAGCTCAAATTATAGTAAATGTGGAAACTGTTGATCAGGACTTTTTTCGACACGTCTAGTCCAAAACCAAGGCCATTTTGGGGTAAATGTATGGTGCGGCATCATCGATAGGCATTTAATTGAGCCTTATTTCTATGAACATACACTGAACAGCGTGAGTTACCTAAATTTCCTACAAGAACAACTTCCTTCACTTCTGGAGAATGTGCCTTTGCAGCTAAGGAGAAACCTATGGTTTCAGCACGACGGGGCTCCACCCCACAAGAACAGGATTGTGCAGCAATATTTAGATAACACCTTCCCAGAAAAATGGATTGGTCTTAATGGACCTATTCAATGGCTCGGAAAGTCACCAGACCTAACACCCCTCAATTTTTTTATGGGGCGTTTTAAAAATGAGCTTTACAAAACACCTTCGCGATATATTAATCATTTGAAAAAAAAAGCACAAACGCTTGTAATGAGTTAAACTGCGAAATGTTAATGAACGCAGCCAACAAAGAAGTCAGGCGAAGATTGGATATGTGTCTTGAAATAAGAGGAGGTCATATTGAGAATATATTGTAATATGTTTGTTGTATAAAAGCGTTTGCCTCATTTTTTTTAGTTTAGTATCATTACCTTTTGTTTTAATTGTATTAAATAATTATCGAGTTTAATCCTTTTATTTATTCTTAATGACATTTATGCGTTTTAAACAACGAACATTCAATTATTTTCCAACGACTACTTGATCCTTCCACAAATAATGTGATTTTTAGGTGGTATTTCTTTTGAGACTCTTTAGGACGATATCCCTATTATTTTATTTCAAAATTTTGAAATTATCAAAAAACGATCATTGTTTTTTTGTCACTTTTCTAAAAACTAATTTAATCTCATGAAACTTTCGGAAAATACTCCTAAGCATGTACAATAAGCTCCTGAAACCCGCTATTGGACAGACGAGTCATTGCTAAGTTACTGACCATTAGTAATTTTTGCAGTTTTAATAAGGATTTTGAGTGGTGATAGTTTTTTACGCGAACAAGTTTCGCGTTTTCAACACAAAAGTTTGATTTTTTTTTTAAATTCAATGGACGGATTTTGAAAGATCGTTCTACCGAAAGTAGAACCAATAATCTCTAAAACGTATCACACATATTATGTTTAAAAAAACTCCGTGTTTTCTTTATCAAAACTTTAGTAGGTAATATGTATAATTGACTTAAAAGTCAAATTAAGTCATTTCATAACTAAAGCTACGTGAAAATATCGAATGATTTTTTATGCGGGTAATAAAATGCTTTTAACTTTCTTACGATTTCGTTCGAACACAAAATTTTACACAAAAAAGTATATTTATTTATGGACTCAAAGTATGGTATTAAGCCAGGCATCTGCAGACAATTTTTCAGAAAAGCAGGCTCCGTTTTCTCGAAATACCTACACTTCACACATTTCTACCATCCCACTTGTTATTTTTATTTCCCAATATATGCGGCGTACCTGTAGCATATAAATATTCCAACGCAAAGGTTTATCGGGTTCCTTTATCCTTATGTGTTTCTTTGATCGTCGTACTTTATATATTATTACTCGTTTTGCGAATTCTACTAAAATAAACAACGCGTCTGATATCTCCTTATACCTTTTCCCCATTTTCTTATTCTGTATTTCAGATTATCGTGAATACAACGGCCTTGTATTATTGTATAAGATACTTGCGGCTCATTTTTATCCATGTATTTGTTCATTTTTATTATGTCGAGAACGTGTGTAATGTAGCATTCTTTCAGACTGTTAAAGTTCTCGGGACCCTCTACGTTTTAGGTAAAAAAATAACTTTACATTCATATTCTACTACCCCAAAAATTCCTTATATCAAGTCCAATACCTTAAAAAGTAATGATGTTATCGTAAAAAATTGAACAGAAACATGTCTTTGAAGGTGTATTTAACTTTTTACGACAGTAGCACTGAGCTAAGGTAACTTGATTTGAATCATCATCATATTATAGTGAAAATGTACTGGGTACAAAGAGGGTTTTATGACTTTTTAATGTTACCTGTTTAAACTTTCCTAAATGCGCCCCCATCTACTTAACGTAGTGACAATGTAGAGCTAAACTATGTCAATGTCATTGGGACTGAGATTCGCAAATTAAATTAATACATTGTTTAAAGAGATACTGCAAAAATTTTTTTTTTGAAACACATTTAATAAATTATGTAAAAACAACAAAATGTTCTTTTAAACTTCACCGCATCGCTCACATGAATGTATAAAGTGGTGCCTTTAAATTAACACGCCGCTCGACCGTACAAAAGGGATCTGTTTTACGCACTTGTTTGACAAAAGCAGACTATAAAATGACGCACATCTAAATGATGACGATAATTTTTCCAAGCTAACAAGCACTTCGCCTCCCGACGAATTCTGATTAATTTCGCCTGCACAATGCCATTTACGTTCGTTTCCCCGCCCGAATAAATTGAGTTACGCTGCTGCCGTCACGGGCGCCTAATGAAGCGAAGGTAAACAATAAAATTGTAATGAAGCCTTGCGCAGCCACTTTAAAAGAGTTTATGCAGTCGTCCTTATATGAAAAGGGTCCTGGCGCACTTAGGCTAGGTGTTCTCCTCATACCGTGGGTGATATGGCGGGCGCGCCATCTGCCTCATCTAAATTTTATATTCGGCCACCGACTCACGCAACCTCCGGGAATCTTTCTCGAGGAAATTGGAAAACACTCCGGATATTATTTTGTCGTAGGAGACGCGTAGAAAAAAGAGTCGTCTTGAAACCGAAAGGATACTGTTCTGCTACAAATGCTTGTAAACGTTTTGCTTTTACTTGCAGTATAAATTGTAAAGAATTCC